GTTGCCTTACCAATCTTAGGGTTTGGTTATTATATTCGTAGTGTTCTAGTTTGGATATTTTATTTGTGTTAGTGTTGTAGTGAGTGGCCCTATTTTCGGCCCAGTAACTATTCCGACGCAGCTCACATTATTTTCCCCTTTTACAACGTGCATTCACATTAATACCCTTAATTCTATACTTTATACAGATAAATTATGATTAAAGGTACTGCATATTTATAAATTTTTTAATCGTCTATATTTACTCAAAATCTTTAAATTTCGAAAGATCAAAAAATCAGCGATTCCATTTTGTCAATCTAATAAAAAACCATACAAAATTATAATTTTTTTATAATACACTCAACTATATTAATATTTTATAAACTATAAAACTTCCAATCAGCGTTCGAAATTAGGATTCTCAGAGTTCTCATAATTACACTATTATGAATTTGTGCACAGCATATATATTTATTGCATGGGTCTTATGTGACAACCCGTACTTTTTTCATTTGGTTATTGCACGGGATTGTTACGTCAGACACCGTGCAATAAGATAGGTATATTGAATAACCCAGTTACACACACGGGTTCATATTTAAATCCGTGGCCTTCGGCCAAGGACATAAACCCTTGTGTAACTGGGCTATTCACATACAATAACTATAATATAGGCGTACTATAATGTGTATCTGTATAGTACATCTTTTCATTATATAAAATGTAAATGAGTACTGTACTGTATTGAATAAAAATTTTAAACGACTGTACAGTACGATACGTTAAGCCCTTTAATATCGTTACCGAAAGCAATTTAAAATTACCGCGAAGGAAAACCTTGTTATCGAGGATTCAAGTTTATTGCTTACCGGGTGACCGGTAAATTATATAATTTTAAATAATTTATTATGTAGATAAATACAGTATAACAATAAATTACCGTATTACCTCGAAATAACGCCCCGGGGTGTAGGTTAAAATTTTGGCCCGAATTAAGCTTAATTCGGCCTAAATTAAGCTTACAGCCAGTGTTATAAATTCAAAAAATTTTTATTGGCGCAAACGCAAAAAAAATATGCACAAAAAAGAAATTTATACGCGCATTATATATATGAAGAGTGTTGATATATGCGCAAATTTAAATCTATGTACGCTGCGCCTATTGCGCGGATCCAATTTACATCACTGCTTACAGCTATTATCATAATTTCTGGAACACCTGCTCATTACCCGAAATCGTTTTGGTCGTTCAGTAAATTACCTAACTCCGGAAATTACATCACTGCCTCCGGACTGAAGGTCTGAAGACAACGATGTAGTTTCCGGAGAGTTAGGTAATGTACCGAACGACCAAAACGATTTCGGGTAATGAGCAGGTGTCCCAGAAATTACGATAATAGCTGTAATCCGGGCCAATTTTTTAAACTACACTCCGGGGCGTTATTTCGAGGTAATACGGGTAATAATAAATAAAAAGTTTCACTTTAAAAGTGTAATTAATTTATACATGCCTTACATTCGAATTTGCGATGTTAATTAAAAACAATAACATTATATAATTATATATTGATATAACTATTGTTACGAAAATTTTGACAAAATTTTCGTACCTTGCATTTTCGCTATGTAGTTTCTTTATCTTCCTATGCAAAAGTAGTAAATCATGTAGTCACGATAGTAATAGCACGTGTACGGGTTCGAAACCCGGGGTTAGGGTTTGAAACCCGGGATCTGGGTTCGAAACCCCGGATTCGGGTTCGAAACCCCAGATCCGGGTTTGAAACCCTTAAACATCGAATTGTATAAATAGGGCGCTTGACTAGTAAATAAGGTGACTTTTTCGAACTCTTTCTTACTTGGCTTCAATAATAAATAAAGTGGATACTTTTCCAACTCTTTCTTGTTTTGACCCGATAATAAATATATAATAAGCTCTGACCTTGCTTAATAAGTGACACGTGGTAACCTAACTTGGACCTATACGTAACCCGTGGTAACCTAACTTGGACCTATACGTAACCCGTGGTAACCTAACTTGGACCTATACGTAACCCGTGGTGACCTAACTTGGACCCTACATAACCTAATTGCAACCTATAATGACCCAACATGGACCCTAATTAACCTAGGCCTGACCCGTGATGACCTCTGGCAAATATAGCAGCGATACTTACCCCAATCAATAATTATTACTACATACGGATCCAGACTGTACAACTTACTATCCGGATTTATGCTTACGGTGCTGGACTAAATTGGCCTGGATATATAAAAGCTCTCTCCAGTCGTAACATTTTGGTGCCTATTGTGTGAAAAAACAATAGAAGGCATTGATGATCATGTGGACGAACAAAAGAAGGTGTCGATATTCTTGTGGACAAGTAGTTGATAATATTAATTGTATGCTGAAGGGTGTGGATAAATGTCAAGTACAAATAAACACTGATAGTATTGTATGAACGAATGTTAATATTATTGTTTGGACAAGCATTGATAATCTTTGTAAGCAAGCATTGATAAGTATTGTGTATATAATGTAGATAATACTGTGTGAGTGAACATTGATAAGATTGTATAGTGAATATTGAGGATAATGTTTTGGAATAAGTATGGATGAATGTTACGGCAGTAAGAGAACAAACGTGTGTACAACAATAGTGTGAATAAGTATAGATATGATAGCAGATACGAACATTGGTATAATAGTATAAACAACTGTTAGTACAATAGTAGGCGTAAATTCAAAAAAAAAAAATTGTGGAAAAACACCTCTCTTCAAAATGAAATTCTGTTGAATAACCCGAACTACCAACTCCAACAGTTGCTTCAGACCATGGTAGATGCATTGACATGATCCAAGGAACCTCAAGCAAATCTTGGCGAAATAGAATTGGTAAAAATCTCAACGTTTAGGAAAAAAAACAAGATCCTATAGAATGGTTAGAGTCAATAAAATGAGCATTCAGAGCAAACAATATCATAGAAACAAGGCAACTCGTGGTTGTGGCTGCCCACCTAATCGGTCCTGCTGTGCTATAGTTGGAACGAAAAAAAGTTGTATACTATATTGGAATGATGAAGCAATACAAAACTGAAGTTTTGTATACCAATTTTGGCAAACTTTCTGTATACCAGCTCTAATAAACCAGTGAACTACAAAATTATTAACCCAATGGCAACAAGTGGGCAAGATAGTAAAACAGTACACTGTCAATGTGGTGTCCTTGTTTACACATATATCGGCTGTGGGAATCTGGTACCTAGAAGTAATGAAGGTTTGAGTGTTCATGCAAGGCCTCTGTTCTGAATTATCATTAGCTGTTGGATTCTTCATACCTAATACACTACAAAAAGTTATCGAACAAGCCCAAATATATGAAACAATAGCAGCACAAGGATTAGTGGTGTGTGGACCTGTCCCACCTAACAACATAGTAGCCCTGTTATCAATATGCCAAATGACTTGCCCTGCAAATTCTCTAGTAACAACCTCTGCCCTGAAAATACCTTATATAATGCAGCCTGTAAGCTTTAAAGTACTGACTACTATATCTCCAGTAATAATTAGCCCAGTAAAACAAACAGTGAAAATACACTGCCTACCTGAAAAAAGTCGACTGACCGTTGCTGCCAGAAAGCATGAAAGTGGCTACAAGCATAACAATAATATATCCTGTATCCATGAGTTGATGGATGATCTAAAGGGTCCACTAAGAAATGCTCAGGCTCTCTGTGACCTTGAGAATAGAGGTCAAAATAGAGTTCAAGTTGAAAAGGATGTGTATACAGAATCTGATAGTGATCAAGCATTTGTGCCCAATTTATACAGACCTTCTTATTATTACTAAAATGAAATTGATGCTAAAAAGTATGAATTTAAGGCACCCATTAGTTATCAAAATCTTACAAAAATGAATTATACCAATGTAATGAATAGTCTTAGTCATGGTTGCTGAAACGAAGAAAAAACTAAAATAGACAAGCAACATGAG